TTTTTTGGTTTTTCTCCGGTACCGGGAACCGAACTCACGACCTTGCACTTGCCAGGCAGGCGCTTTTGCCGCTGAGCTAAATCCCCAGCCCCCTTGTGTGCATTTTTTAAATTTTATTAATTCTAGTTCTTCATTAAATAAATTTTACTCTCTGTAACTCAGGTTTTTCCTCACTTTTTTTGTACTTTTTGAAAGGTAGGGGACCAGGGTTATAGCTCAGCACCACAAGCACCTGCCTGGCAAGTGCAAGGTCCTGAGTTCAATTCCCGGTACCAAAAAAAATTAAAAAATAAAAAAATAAAAGATAGTATCTTTTACTTGGTAGTATCTTTTTGATATGCATAATTATGGTAACTGTGTGTATGGTAAAATTTATGTATTCAATACGTATTTTCCTTCTCATTAATCAGCTCATTAGAAATATTCAACTATTTTGTGAAAATGAGTTCCAGAAAGGAAACACCAGAAAAATTATCAAAAGCTACTTAATACAGCTATTCTCTTTTCTCACTGTCTATCATTCTTTTCCACTTAAGTCATATCTTTAGGCTTACTCTTTGAAAGGGTAGAGAATAAATTCAGAGTAATTTAAATGCTGAGATAGCCAGGCATGGTGGCTATTGCCTGTAATCCCAGCACTCGGGAAGCTGAGGCAGGCAGGAGGATCACTGTGAGTTCAAGGCCAGCCTGGGCTACATAGTGAAACCCTGACTCAAAAAAAAAAAAAAAAGCTGGTGGGGAGGCTCTTTATTTTCTCTTTTTCAAGTATTTTGGAAAAATCACGTTTAAAATTTATTTTTAGCTGGGCGTGGTGGCACACGCCTGTAATCTCAGTACTTGGGAGGCTGAGGCAGGAGGATCATTGCAAGTTCGAGGCCAGCCTGGGCTACAAAGACCAGCCTGAGCTTAAGACCGGCCTGAACTGCATAGTGAGACCCTGTCTCAAAAAGACAAAAATAAATAAATAAATAAAATAAAATAAAATTTATTCTTGTATGGTATTTACTGGTTTTGCAAAAAAAAAATCATAATATTTATAACTAAAGGTAAATCATTTGTTTAAAAAAGGCAGTTTGTACAAAATGCCCTTGGTCTTTTATAATTTTCATTAAAAAATTATCTGGCAAATTAAAAAAATATAATAAAGTAACTGCTATGGTACTAGCTGCATCAAAAGCGCTGAGAGCCACCACCTGTAGCCCTAGCTACTTGGGAGACTGAGGCAGGAAGATCACCTGAGCCCAGGAGTTTAAGGCCAGCCTAGACAACACAGCAAGGCCCTGCCTCAAAAGAAAACAAAACAAAAAAGTCCCGGGAAAGCAGAGCAGTTTATCCCCTTGCCTCCTACGCAGAAGATGAAAATGTAACTTGCTAGAAACATACAATTAAATTCTTGATTACTTATTTGCCTGAAGCAGGAAGTAGCTAGAGAAAAGGTTGGAGAAAGCAGGGCCAGGCACCATGCAGCCCACTTTCTGGGCTAGATCTTAGGCCAAGGAAACCAAGGAGACAGCTGAAAAAAGGAGGAGGGTCCACTGTGGGGCTCACTTTCTGGGACAAGATCCACCTTCTAAGTTAACCATTATCCCGGGACCAGGACACCAGGTCTAAACACAGGGGGAAAAGCATCAGGTAATTTGCTTGTACACTGTAGCTTCCCAGGCATGTGCACATCACTGGCTGCAGAGCTGACCTCCTTCAGGGTTTTGGACACCCTGACAGTTCCTTTAAGGGCCACACAAAGTCAAAAACTCTACCGAGCTACATGGGGCCTGAGAGAGGCCCCTCACTGGCAGGAGTCATACCTCAGATCCAACCCTCCATCCCATCACAAGCCCTACGCTTAACACTGTCCACACCAAGCGCCCTCAGTGCATGAGCTCCTCTCACTGACCCACCCGCTCCCGCTCCCCCTCTCCGGAGTGTCTTTCCTCTCTCAAATAAATCACTGTTTCTGCCGCTACTCCAGTGCCCTGCTCAGTTCCTTGTTCAGGGCACTGATTCCCGGATAAAACCTCCAACCTGGAAACAAGCCTTCTAATCTATTTTCTTTCATGAATCCAGGAGTTACACTATGCAAAGGTGACAGATACAAAAAGGAATCATTACAATTTATCAAGTTCTTTTACTGACTTTATCCTAGGAGAAAGGTTTCCTACCTTCACAGGAAGAAAAAAATCAGAAATTACTTAAAATTTCTGTAGATAATTTTTATAAAACTATAAATATTGATTAAAAAATACTAGACAGGATGGAGAAACTGGGCTTTTGTTTTTTCATGTTTTGTTTTTGTTTTTTACATCATAACGAACAATACAGCAGTTTGGTTAAGAAACTCAAGTTTGAAGAAAAAAAAAAAAGAAGTTCAAGTTTGAGCCAGATTCCTAGGTTCAAATCCTAATTCTATCACTGACTAAATAAATGATCTTGAATTTCAAAATGGCTAAGTTTCTCATCTACAGAATGGGCCCACTGCAGCCTATACCACAGAAAATGAGACTTCAATCAGTGCCCATGTATATTGCTTAGCATACCAGTAGCATTTGGTTCATTAAATGGTACAAAGTAGACTATACCTTATTAGAAATGCTTAGGACTAGCTGGTCATGGTGGCACACACCTGTAATCCCAGCACTCAGGAAACTGAGGTAGGAGGATCGTTGTGAGTTCGAGACCAGCCTGGGCTACAAAATGAGCTCAAGGCCAGCCTGAACTGCATAGCAAGACCCTGTCTCAAAAACACACACAAAAAAAAAAAAAAGAAAAGAAAAGAAAGAAATGCTTGGGACTAAAGCATTTCAGATTTTATATTTTTAGTTTCTGCACATCTAAAGAAATCACCAGCAGAGTCAAAAGAAAACCCACAAACTTGGAAAAAATTTTAGCTGATTGTCCCTCAGACAAAGGGCTT